GAGAGGTCTGATATTATATGCCTCCTGTTGAACTGAACAAATTAAAACCCTACTTTGCTTCTGTACAGAGAGAAACTGCCCTCACTAGCTAAACAATACAAGAACAAATCTGTACAGAGATGGAAGACTTAAAAATTGAGCCCATGGGGTGGATTATTTTATTTTGTGCACAATAAATTGCAGTCTATTTGTCATGGGATCTATTTATTCAGGTCTTACTGCATTTGGGCAGCAGGTTGTATCAAATAGTTGTGTTTTGGAGATAGGAGTGGTCAAGCTAGTTTTAAACCATTGAAGACAAAACTTCACATGGTCATGTCTTCTACAGACAGTTACTGCAAATGTTGAGGTGGCCCTTGCCTGACTGCTTGGGAAGTAGATTTGTGGCTTCTGCTACAAAATGTACATGGGGATGTGGTATATATTGCCTAGTATAGGCTTTTCCAACTTCTAAGTAGTCGGCGGTGACATGTTGCATGACCCACAGCCAGCATGAGCTAGCCAGCATGACATGCTGCATGACCCACACCAGCATGATCTACAGCCTGCCCAGGCCATATGCTGCATGGGAGCCTCTCTTCTTTTCTGCTGCACCACACTTGCAGGCTATGCCCTGATCACCGGCTTCCCTGTTCCACCATGGGCTATACAATTCTGTGCCACTCCCTAGGGGAGGAGCAGAAAGGGGAAGCCAGGTTCCAGGGGTGCCATGGAATAAAGGGAGGGGGAGCCTGGAAACCCCAACTGCAGCTCCAGCTGGAGTGATGAGGAAAGCAGTGGCCAGTTGGGAGCACTGGGTCACAAATTAAACCCTTGTGGGCTGCATGTCATTTAAACCTCCAGTTGAACAGCTGTGTTTTAGTGGTTGTTCATTGCACAAATTCCACAACAGTTAGTATGCACAAGCAGGGCAATTTGTTGGTGGACCGCACTGCTCAGGTTCTCTAGTTCTCTAGACACTGCTCTTGTAACAAGCATTTTGTATTACTCTTATCTTACCCCAATCTTTCTTTGTTTGCTCCTTCAGTTAGTCATGCATTGAGACTGCAGTTTCTTTGCAGGCCTTTCTTATGTGTGTGTACTGTGACCAGCACAAGTAGGCTAGGGATAGAAGTTGCACATAAACTGGTTAAGGCTTCAGAAATTGGTTTAAAACCTATAACAGAACATAAGTTCAGTGCACATAAACCAGTTTCAAAATGGACAAAACCGGTTTGAGATACACCTGGTTGAATGCAGTATCAGACTTAACTGATTGAGCTCAAACTGGTTTATGGAACTTCTGTCCCACACCCCTTCCTGGTTTAACTTAAACCAGAGTCCCCCAGCATCTGGCACGCTCTGCAGCCCTGGCACAGGGCTGTGCTGCCTGCTTCAGGGACAGGGATGTGCCAGATGCCAGACCCCAGCCCCCTTAAGGTGAAGGAGACAGGGAAGAGGTTTATTTCCCATTCCCTCCCCTGTCCCACTAGCACGGACCCGCCAGGCATTTCTCCACTCAGTGCTCCAGCAGCGGGGGCATGGCTCACACCAGCAGTAGCCTCAAGTGATCTAGCCAGGGATTTAGTTTCCCCCTCCTTGTCCCACCGGCATGGACCTGGACTGGGGTCTGCCTAATGCTCCCCACTTGCTGTTGCAGTGGTGGGGGTGGGGGTGCGGACAGATGCCATCTGGCATAGCCCCTTGAGGCAGAGGGGGCAGGGAAGGGGTTTATTCCCCCTCTACCCCAGGGGAGCGCAGCTGGGATCTGCTAGTCATGACTGCCAGCATCCCCTGATCGCTCCCTGTGCAGGGTGAGTGGCAGAATAAGCCTCTTCCCTGCCCCTTTTGCCTGACACCAGAGGGAGGGGGAAATAACCCCCCATGCTGCCCCCTCGCCTAAGGGGCCCATGCTGGCTGTCCTCTGGCCCTGCCGCTGGAGTGGTGAGGGGGCAGGGACCCTGACAGGGGCAGCAGCTCCTGTCATGGTGTCCCAGTGAGCACAAGTCTCTTCCCAGGTGGGGCCTGTGCTGTGGGCAGGAGCAGGACAGGCAGAGCTGCTGCAGACTGCGTGGGGTGAGCAGCAGCACCAAGGCTTGGAGGAGTGGCCATAGCCCCTCAAGCTACACCTAGCGCCACTGCAGCTCACCTCACTCAGTCTGTGGCAGCTCTGCCAGCCCCGTTCCCACTCACAGAGCAGTTCTTCTGCTGGGAAGAAGCTTGCGTTCCCCAGGAAACCATGAGAGGGACAGCTCCCTGCCAACTCACTGCTTCAGACTAACCCTCAAAGATTGAATCAGTTCAGGTCCTGGCTTTAAATTCATAGATTCATAGATTCATAGATTAAGGGACAGAAGGGACCTAGTAGATCTTCTAGCCCAACCCCCCGCCAGGGCGGGAGAACAACAAAAAACCCCAAAAAGAGAAACGGGACTCAAATGAGTAGAAACGGGACTTTCCCCTAGCCCTAGAGTCCAGATTCCTGATTGACCTAACTGTGTTCTTTCTCTGTGTTTGCCTCAGTTCAGCTGCCTTTCTGGCCAGATGTACCTGTAGGGGAAGGGAGACAGGATTAGAGCCTAGATGATAAATTTGACATCTGTTAAATAGTGTGTGAATGAAGTGTACACTATTTGCAAGTCATTGGATCAATGGAGAAAAATATATATAAGAAATATTCCACTTCTATGGAAGCGTGATAGAATTAAGAACAACAGAAGAATTATTTCCTTTTCCAAAAAACTGCTCAAAACCACATATCACTCATCACTAATTGAGCTAGTTCTTAGATGGGAGATATCTGGGGCGAAGAAAAAAGTGTTCATGATTAAGTAATTTTTCTACAGTAATTTTTTGTACAGATCACACTGCTTCATGCAGGATTTACTACCCAAGAATACTTTTTTCTGGTTGATCCAAAATCATATAGGACTGACAGCCTGAATCTCCATAAGAAATTAGTAGGGAATTAGCCTTGCTATTTGTATGTGTTATTTTAATAAGAGGTAGGTAGTCATAGATGGCACATTAGCAACAAAGGGTAAGACTTTGTTAAGATATTGAGGGGATTAATATAAATGAAAATAATTGACTAGAAAGTTGGGACACTTTTTTGTGCAAATGTAAAGGACATATGAAACAATTTCAAAACAAGTAAAACATTTTCAGTAGAAACTTGACTGAACATTTTAAGTAGAAACTTGGCAGAAACTTGACTGGATCAGGAAACAAAGATATTAAAATATCAGAATATACAATTTAGAGAAGTAACAAGCTCAGCAGGACACACAGGGGTGTGACAAACTTTTGTATAAAATTATATTTGTAAGCTGGATGACGTGACAAATGCAGATTTATGGAAAAGAAATAGTAAAATATAGTTATAAGAAACTCCTACAGACCTCCAAGGGAGTGCTTCAGGCAAATTCCACCCAGCAACGGCTTCAGTAAGGTTAGAACATTAATCACGGGAGATTTCAGTTA